GCCAGGCTAGGGCTGGGGGGGGGGGGGGGAAGGCAACAGCAGGGGGACCAGAAATGACCTCCCCTGGTCTCTTGGAAAATCCTTCATTCAGGACTAGTCAGGTCCTGAGGGTGCCGGACCAGGGAGGTCCAACTTGTTCAAGCAAATTTCCAGTGAAGTAGTTACCAGTACATCTTTATTCCAAACACTAAGTCCCAGTTTCCAGGCTAGGGCTGGGGGGGGGGGGGGGAAGGCAACAGCAGGGGGACCAGAAATGACCTCCCCTGGTCTCTTGGAAAATCCTTCATTCAGGACTAGTCAGGTCCTGAGGGTGCCGGACCAGGGAGGTCCAACTTGTTCAAGCAAATTTCCAGTGAAGTAGTTACCAGTACATCTTTATTCCAAACACTAAGTCCCAGTTTGTGTAATGATGGAAGGCAGAAATTAGGTCCAAGACCTTGAGGGACAGGGATAGCTACTGTACATGTATACCAAGTTGCTGCATTAATCTCACCAGCAGCTTCTATTATAAAATAGGATCATTTATTGTAACTTTAGTAAACTTAATTTGGACTGTAGGTTTAAGACAACACTAAAACTATATCCACACCAACCATCATTATCAGGTTAACAAGCCAATAAATTTACCTGACTCCACAATACTTATGAGTTGCATGTTGTGTCTGATGAGAACTGTTTAGTGTTCAGAAAGCAACTAGAATCACATAAGCCAAAAACAATGCTGCCAGACAACTCGCCAACACCAGATTCTACAGGCTTCTTTCATCTGATCCCATTAAAGAATATCAAGAGAGACTACACCATCTGCTCATGAAACTCCCTGCTACAACTCAGGACCAAATCTGTACAAAAATCCCTGACCAGGAGTTTTCTATCTGCTACCCAAGATCCACCAACCTAGAAATCCCAGATGTCCCATCATCTCAGGCATTCGCACACTTACAGCAGGATTATCCAGTTATGTTGACTCTCCTCAGACCCTATGCTACTTGCATTCCTAGCTACCTTCGAGACACCACTGACTTCCCGAGGAAGCTACAGAACATTAGTAATCTTCCTGAAAACACCATCCCGGCCACCATGGATGTAGAAGCGCTTTACACCAACATACTACATGATGATGAATATCTAGTTGTCAGAAACACTATCCCCGATAACACCATTGCACACCTGGTGACTGAGTTTTGTGACTTTGTCCTCATCCACAACAATTTCCAATTTGGGGACAATTTATAGCTTCAAGTCAGTGGCACAGCGATGGGTACCCACATGGCCTCACAAATTGCCCACATCGTTATGGCTGACCTTGAAAAATGTTTCCTCAGCTCTCACCCCCTAGCATCCTTACTCTACTTATGCTACCTTGACAAAATCTTCATCATAAGGACCCACGGGAAGGAAATCCTTGAAGAATTTGACAGGGATTTCAACAACTTCCACCCCACCATCAACCTTAGCTTGGACCAGTCCACAGAAGAAATCCACTTCCTTGACACTACAGTACAATTAAACGATGGCCACATTTCTACCACTTTATACCAGAAACTACCAACCATTATACTTACCTACATGTCTCTAGCTTCCATCCAGGACATATCACCCAATCAATTGTTTACAGTCGGGCCCTAAGATACAACCAGATTTGCTCCAATCCTACAGACAGAGACAAACACCTACAGAATCTCTATCAGGCATTCTTAAAACTTAAATACCTACCCGGGGAAGTGAAAAAACAGATTCACAAAGCCAGACAAGTACCCAGGCATCAGCTTCTTCAAGATAGGACCTACATACAAAATAACAGAACACCACTAGTCATTACCTACAACCCCCAACTTAAACCCCTCCAATGCATCATTTACAATCTACAACCTATCCTGGAAAATGATCCCTCGCTCTCACAGGCCTTGGGAGGCAGGCCAATCCTCACCTACAGACAACCCCCTTACCTGAAAAATTCTTTCCAGCAACCATGCAGCACATCTCAAATATATTCACCCAGAAACCTACCCTTGTAATAAACTCCATTGCCAACTCTATCCACACATCTACACAAATGACATCATCACAGTACTTAACCACATAAGCTACCACATCAGAGGCTCATACAGCTGCACATCCACTAACATGATATATGCCATCAAGTGCCAGCAATGCCCCTCTGCCATGTATATTGGCCAAACTGGACAGTCGCTACGACAAAGGATTAATGGACACAAATCAGATATTTGAAATGGGGAAACCTATAGGGGAGCATTTTAACTTGCCCAGGCACTCATTAATGGATTTAAAAGTGGCCATCCCCTTGCAGAGTAATTTCAGGAACCAATGAGAGAGAGAGAGAGACACACACACACACACACACACAAAGACAGACAGACAGACAGACAGCAGATAAGTCCTTCATATGCCAACTTGATACATTTACCCAGGGACTGAATCAATACATTTTCTGGATGTCAACAGAAAATGTCAACACCCAAATGACATCAAAAGCTAAGTATCAGTGACTTACAGTCCACTCTATTAGCCTCATTTAGCACGGGCGCTTTAATTGACAGGGTTTTTTTCTCCTCCCTCTCTCTACTCTTTCTGCTCTGTCCCTCTGTGCCCCTTGCTCCATTCACCTGAAGAAGTGGGTTGTGCCCAACCAGCTATATACCAGCTATATTTTTGTTAGCCTCCAAGGTGCTACAGAACCATTCATTGTTTTTTAATTTTTTTTTAAATGCAGGAATATGCATACACTGCAACATGGTATTTTGATAGACCAGAACGTGCCATTTGTCTATAAACATAATATTCCTTTTATTTAAAAAAGTAACCTTTGTAGTTTAGTACATATTAACTTTTCAATGCAAAGGCAGCAATGTTTTTAATCAAGCTGTTATTTATCCAAGAACTCCACACATGCGGTATACCTTATGATCATTTTGATCCTTGACTTCCCTGAAGAATCTGATATCTTTGATCAATCTGGATTTGATATGTTCATCATACATGAACTGGCTAAAGATATAGAACTTTTTCCTAAGAAACTGGTAAGTGAAATTAACCTGAAATAAAATTAAACATTCAGAATCAGAAAAAATCCATTTAAATTAACATGCTTTTATAGTGACCATCATTCAGTAGCTTCTTGAAGTTTTTATTCCATGTTAAGACTTTTTTGTAGCTGGAAAGTTCAACTCGGCCTGCCCCATTTTGCTCAAAATTTTCTAAAATATTGTTCTTTCTGGAATTAAAACCCAATTTTTTTCAAGTCTAAATTCCCTGCCTGGTTCATTCCCAGGCCACCATCAAAAGTGGTTAAGAAAGGAGGAGTTCATTTTTCCAGGAAGCAACGTGACTTGAAAGACAACTTCTTTTTCAGTGCTGATATCTCTGAGACAAGGAACTCCAACATGAGAAGAACACATTAGTATCATGCTTGCAAAAGTGAGCACTATCCTACAATGCAACAAAGAATAAGAACCCTCATTTCTAAACATTTTCATTTTGTACATGTTGCCTTAGAGAAAGTGTTCTTCAATGCATAGTGCTCATCAAGTTCTTATGTTGTGCTGGCTTGGTAGGAAAAAGAATGAGACAAAAAGACAGAGTGATAGAGATAGAGATAGCGAAAAATCTAGTGGCAGTCCGAAATTTGATTGTTTTAGGTTAGCTGGATTTTCCAGTAAAGCTTTGGCATCACACCAGGTTTTAGAACTACTTCAATTACTATGTTAGGCTCAGTAAATACACTACTGTTATTTACAGTAGATAGGTGGACATTCATCTTTACCAGACTGCCATCTTTACACCAAAGATCATTACAATCATTTTATTTAGAAATCCAAATCAACCTAATAATCCATACTATAGTGCATCTTCTAGATTCACAGCAAGTAGTAAAAATCAATTAACACTACTTAGCCAAAAGTATAGTGACACATATATCTCATAGAAAGCCACTTAAAAAATGACCTTACATTTTCCCAAATTCTAAAATGTATAAAGTGGCAGTTTATCAATTTAAGTTTACTTAGGAGTCATCAGCATCATATTTCTCCTGCTCCGCTTAAATGAAATGCTATAAACACACCAGCCAACCAAACTTTAACGAGCAGTGATACATGACACTGTAATTATAAAGGCTACCATTTAGAAATTCAAAGTGCTGTAAATGTAACTATTTCCATCTTTAGGGCAATTCAAAGGACTTCTAGGATATTTCTAAACATCTTGTCAGCTGTGGGTCTTTGCATAAAGGTCTGACTTTATATACTAACTACCATGGCATAACTCATAAGACTTTTGAAGTTGACTGCTTGGTCAAAGGACTACTTTGTTATATTCAATACAAAAAGCTATGTTTGTGTAGTATTAAAAAACTGCACAGTTAAAAACTCAAAGGTCTGGAAATGCTAGCATTCCAACACTGCTTTGTAACTATTAAAAAAATAACAGTCGGGAAGATACTTACTGTTGTGTTCATGATTCCTGTGCCATGAGTTCGAATTGAATTAGCAATGTGCCGGATATTGATAGTGTTCAAATGTTTATTATTGCTAGTTCTCTCAATGAAGATCTGCAAAGAGAAGGTCATCATTTACCCTATATCAAAACCAAAGTCTATAATAATCAGATATGCACTACCCAGAGAAGTACAGAATACATCTTACCTGATTATTGAGATTGTAAAGGTAGCGAGATACAAAAACATGAATATTTCTCATGATTTCCAAAACATCCAGACCCTGAAACAATGTGGTAAAAATCCTTAATGGATTATAACAGTCTCCTGTGAGTCATTCAAATATATTTAAAACTGTTAATTGTGCAAATTAATTACCTGAAAGTGTTTTTGAAAGCAGATTAAAGTAATTAGATATGCATGCAAATCATCACTTTTCCGTTCAATTTTGTGAAAATATCTTTGCAATTTTCTTCTGGGCTACTTCAGGGGCTAGATTTAATGGTTTCTTTCTTTAAGTTTTATAGCCAGTGTCACATTAAAAGAAATTCCTTTTGGTTGTATCTTTTAACATTTTTGAAAGTGAACATTCTTTAGTCCTAGCTAGCAAGTGCAAAACAAAAAGGGAGAAACTGGACCATTTTTTCAACCTCCAAATAAAATGCAAGACCCTTCATATTCAAGGTTGAAAAATTAATAACTACTTTTAAAAAACTGTTATTTAAACGGTTTCACTGCTCAAGATGAAGATCAGGTCTAGGAACCATGGTTTTTATCTTGATTATGCCATAGACTTGTTAGTCTTGGGTAAATTGCGCAGGTCAAAATTTTAGAAAATAGTCTCTCATTTTGGATTCCTTTGTATCTGTACTTCCTGAATGTTTGAATGCTTATCTAGAACTTCCAGAATAAAATGGCATGTACAATACCCATACACACACCTCACATACTGTACCTGTTCTAAAGTCTGACTGGGAAGATGTGCTTCTGTCATAGTTAAGCCATACCGCTGAGTTGCTAAATTCCTCATTTCACTGTATGTGGCCCAGTCATGAAGAGCTACAGTTGTTAAGTTGTAAAACGTCTTGTCTAAGTAGTGTGTCACATAAACTGTAAAATAAAAAATAATGAAATATGGACTCAACTATTAACTACAACTCTTAAATTGCTGAGGAATAGCAAAGAAACAACAAAAACAAAGAAAAAATCCATAAATCTCTGCACTGAAAACTAGCACTTAAAACTAAAGGATTCATCTGTGGGGACTGAACCCAGAACCCTCTGGATTTAAAAGCCATGAGCCTCTACTGCTTGAGCTGATAGACCAAACTCCCTAGCTCAGAGGCAACAGACTCCTAAACTTCTATATATAAGCTAGCCCTAGAAGTGGGTAAAGAGCCATGACCTTAATAACGATAGCTTATGCTTGAAATGCCACTTGCACGTATATAAATTATTTTTAGGGTGCAACTGAGATGACAAAAATCACACAAAAAACAGCTAAGCAAAAAGAAAAAGGGAATACTAGAAGGGTTACCAGATATACAAGAGAGAGAAGTACTGAGAAGAATGAACTATACATGCAACCTACCTTTGATGTCAATGAAACGATTGAAAAATCGAATTGGGTTCAGGGAGAAAAAGTGGGCCAGATCCTTCATTCCAACTCTGAAGGGATTTCTGTCATCAAGCTTTAAGTGTGTGTGCACAGAAAGGCGTAAATCCTTTTCTATTTCTTTACATAATTTGTCCAGCAAGTGCTATTCAAGGAAATAAAAAAAATATGCTAAACATCCATTCAAAAAACTTATTTTAATAGAGATTAAATTTGTCTTTGGCGCAAGAGGGCTGATGACTAATGACTGTGGCTACATCTTACAAATAGGTGAACCTGAGGCAAGAATTCTTTAAGAATTTCAGAGTTCCAGGAACTAAGTCTCTTGTTTGCACTTGCAAACAAAGTCCTGTTGATGTCCTAATCAAACTGAGGACCAATTCAGGAACTACATGGAACTACATATCTGTTATTAAGAATAACAGGAAATGTTCAGCTTCTAAATGGACAATGTTAGTTCTAGGACACACATTTACATTGACTAATTAGGAGTATTTAGAATGTTTTGTGACCAATTAAGGCTCCAACAATTTGTTAAATCAGTGTGGTTCCTACCTATATTTAAGAAGAGAACCATTCATTTGCTGCAAAACACATACACCCTTTACTGTGGCCGTCCAAGCTAATTAAAAAAACTATTTGACCTAAACCAAATGCAAATCATGTTTGTTACAAAAGCTCAGACGGGATCAATGATATGTGCTGGACAGAGTGGTTGCAAGCCACTGTTTAGAACCCTAGGTTGAGAACCCCTGGTTTATATAATGAGTCTACAACAGATGTGGTTTACTAAGAAGTGTGTAGTTCAGTTCCAATAAGACTTTATTCAGTTTAGCAAAACTATTATTCTAAGATTTCTCTAGAATCCCAGAATAGATTACATATGTTGTGGGACTAGACAGAGAGGAAGAATGGTCCAGTGGTTAAATCACTTGTTAAGGAGATATGGATTCAACTCCCTGCTCTGCCAGAGACTTCCTGTTTGACTGTGGGGAAATGACTTAGTTTCTCAGTACTTAAGAATCTGTAGAATGTAGACTGTCTTCTCTAGCACACATGTATTAAATTCAGAGATATATTAAAGACTGAGGTACACGGATACTATGAGAACGAAGTCAAGGAAGTACCTGACCTAGTCAAAATAACAATTTTCTCACTTATCACTATTTCATAGCAGTCTCAAAGCTGTTATATAGGTTTTATATAAAATCCTGTTTTTCAGTCAATAAAAGCCGATCAATACACAATTCAAATAAATTGTCACTGCTAGACCCCTACTCACAGTAAACCCTGTACTTCTGCAATTACCTCATTTAAAACATCCATGATTTCTTTGTCATAGCACTCCAGAAGTACCTCATAGGACTCCAAGTGTCTTGAATGCATCATAGCAGGTACACAATCCCGTAATGCACTAAACATGTACTAAAAAACAGAAAGAAATTAATATGCAAACCATAAGTCAGACATGTCAACAAACATCTCAAAGCATCTAGCATATAAAGGCTAGAATCAGCCCAATTTAAACAGTTTCAAGTCTCAAATCCAAAGAACAAGGATCATTTTCTAGTTTACTGTATTTCACCATGAATAGTCACTATAACACTGTAAAAATTAACATACTGTAACTTTAACCATTTTAAAAAATAATCTATGTGAGACTGATATCACATTTTTGATTCAGTTATCCTAAAACAATGAAGGAAAAGAGTGTTAAGTCAATTCAAATTGGCTGTTGTTGCTGCCCCTGCCCTGCAATCATTAGATTAACAAATATTCAGTTCTAGCCTTTTGCAGGCCCATTACTTAAAACAGTGGATCAGACAAATCACTGATCCATCAAGTCTCATGCTGGACCAAGTGGTTAATCCCTGGTAAAACCTACTACTGTTTGCTTCTGAGTAGGGATTTGAAAGCGTACCCATGTACATGGTTTACTGATGAGCCTGGGCTCATTGATTAACCTTCAAATTACATGAACACTGGTTCCCAGGGAGCCATCTGTCCCTACCCCTGTGCTGCTTCATCTATGATTTTTAACTGTTTTAAAATTTTCTTCCCACACCTGCCTGATTCAGCCAGCCACTGTAACTGAACAATTATGGGTATTTCTTATTTACCTGCAATCTAGAGGCATCAACTGCATTTTCGTACACATCATCTAAATAAATTGGGAAGACTGCTCGATGCCAGTACAAGAATCTACAATCACACTGTGTTTGGATTCTAAAATGCAAGATATTACTTATTAAACAAAATCAGAAGCAACAGAAAATAATGAACAAAGGATGGTGAACTGCATGTCAGCAAGACTCTATTTTTACAGCACTGCCCCCTTTTTATTGTTAAAATCATCTACACCACAGATTATTTCAATAGTACTCATGCTCACCAAACATGTTTTCATGGTATTTATTATTTTCCCATTGACCTTCAAAAGAAAATGCAAGCTCTTTGATAAATGGATGCCTATTTTCACTATCATATCTGTGAGCACCATGTCAAGCTACTGAAATGCTTTTGCAAGGTATACTATACCTAATCTTTGTAATAATATCTTTATGCTTCCCACAGTACCCTAAAGTAAAGGAATTAATGATATCCATAACAAAATACTGAGCCACATACAGACAAGCATCCTCCTCACTGATACTGGCAGTAGATTCTGAACTTGAAAATGCAGACAGCTTATAAAGCATAAGGTGTTACTGTGTCATGACTGTAATTGTACAAATTCATTTAAATAATTAGAATTATGATATGCCTAAAGCATACATGTAGGTCAAGGGTAGGCAACCTTTAGCACATGACCCATGAGGATAATCCACTGGTGAGCCAGGAGATATTTTATTTACATTGACCGTCCACAGGCTTCCTGCCCCACTCCCTCCATCCCCTCTCTCCCGCCCCCGCAGTTCCCAGTGGCCAGGATTCACTATTCCTGGATAATTGGAAGCAACAGCTAGCAGATTATCCTGATGGGCTGTGTGATGAAGATTGCCAACCCCTGGTGTAGATTGACACCATCAATAATTGTGTGTATAGCAGTGTCTGCACAAAATCATTGCTGAACATTTCACAGCCAGTTACAATCTATACCAGGTTAAAAAAGAGGTGTTTATGTAAAATGCAACATACTGCAGGAAACCTAATATTTAATATGGAGGTATAAACCAAGAGGGCAATAGGTCCCAAAACTAATGGTTCATGTCAAATCAAACAAAAAGTATGGTGCACTATTCAACAAGACCAGCATTTCTGAAAGCCACTCCTCCTTAAAGATGAGGGAAGCCACAGACTTCATTATAGAATTCTGTGGCCCATATTCTGGCCAGCCCCGGTCCTCAGTGTACATGAAAACAGTCAATTATATGTAGCTAAGTGTAGAAAACAGAAAAACCTGTAAGACTTCATAAACTGCATCCTGAAATCTCAACACATTAGCTGACAACTGTTTCCTCCCCTCTCCCAAAGCATGTGTGCGCGCTACTCACCGCTCCCTAAGTTCACTGATTAAGTCCAGTTTCTTCATAACTATTTGGAGGGGAAGCAGCTCTTCATCTTTAAATGTTTTCTGTTAAAAAAAAGCAGCAGAGGAAAATGGGTGGAGTCATATACGGTTTAACTGCAAAACAACAATTACTTTTAAAATTGTTGCAACAACTGAGTTATAAACTTGTTTACTATAGCTAACAAGTTAACATACAATAGCGAGAGTTTGAACAATAGTTGCACTTACCATCTGTGTGCCCACACTGAGTGCAAGGGACACTATAAGGCGCCTCTGTTTTGTACTTGGTCCATTGAGGGTATTCTCAGCCAATACCAGAGCAGAGAGCACGTCCAGTCTCTGCTCACTGTATTTTTTGTCAGAAATAACTCTTTTCTTGATGGGAGAAACAAAAATAATAGTTCAAATTTTATATTCATGGAAGAGTTATCAGAGATCAAAAGCAGCAGTTTATTCATCTATTTAAAATTCCAGAGAGTTGTCTCACTATTTACCATAATATTGTGTAAATTAGGTTTTCAGAACCAATCTAAGTGAATCCAGATTACTTCCCCTCCCAAATTTAATTGGATTCATTCTATTGTAAATGCTGGTAAACATACCTAACTCTGCACTGGCATACGACAGATTTATAGTAAACAGGCATTGTGCAAGCATGCACATAGCTTTGCATGTACACAACACTTCTGTTTTACATACCAACCCTACTGTTCCTAGAGGAGCGGTTTCTTTCAGTAAGAAGAAATCCAGCAGTGTCCAACTTTATGGGCCAACTAGCCACAACTCTATAAAGTGCATGTGTGAAGAAGGTCCCTGAGATAGAAAAATGCAGGTTATGACACTGAGCAAGTGGAAAATCATAGCAAGGACCAAATCAAACTAAGCTCCCAATTCTGCTCTCACTGCAGAATGTGAATTTTTTTGCAACAGATTTTAGTGAGAATGGGATCTTTTATAGGTTAGAAAGCTAGGGTCATATTTAAGAGTGTGGACTTGATTCAAGATTTGGTGCAATGGCAGAGAATTCCTTCTCTGATTAGAAGGATATGAGCTCAACTTGAAATTCCTCCCCTTTGATGCTATCAGATGTTCCAAGCACATGCAACAAAACAACTGCAGCCTGCAGTAAATGACTTAAGGCTGCTGTTTACTTATATTAGCCTTCTATTTATCTTCTAAGAAGGGGATTAATTAAAACAGCAATCTATTCATACAATGAGTCTCTCTCTCTTATTCCTAGTAACTGTTGGAAATACAAATATTGTAGTGTGCTTGGATCATATTGCTATTTTTAAGCTTAGAATTCATTTACATCTGTAAAATAAAAGCTATAGAACAATTATCTGAACATAGGGGTACTGCCCATTTTTAAAGCAGATGTAAATTTCATATCAGATTTATTGTTTCAGATGGGTTTGCTGGATCTCAGTTCAACAGTGATACCGGTGAAATGTGTTAGATCTGTTTATTAAATTACAACTAACATTTTGTTTATACTAAAAATGTGGTGAAGGAGATGTGCAGCATCTGTGTTCATATTATAACAGGCAAATGGCACTTTTATAAACATTAAATGTACCCTAACTATTCCTCATAAAGAATGTTAACACATACAGTAATAATAGAAAGTACTGTATATGTGAAGCCAGCCCTAAAGCTAACAGTCTACATGCTTATACACACCATCACAAATCACTTTAATAAAGGATCTATAACAACAAACAGGCAGACTGAATAAAAGAGCAACACCATCAGTGGAGTCACAGGAAAATATCAGAAGAATAAGGCCAAGATAAGAGAAGCAGTTGCATACTATGATAGCGTATGTGTACTATGTGTGATTGGGGGAACAGGAAAAGACATAACAGAGTTGACATCTTTGTTGCATATCAGGATGGTACCTAGAACAATGGGGTCCTGATCCCTGATTGCAGCTTTTAAGTGCAAGTAATAGACAGGATGTTGCAAGACCATAGATAGTTTCAAATTAGTTGGATAATAATTTTGATTTGATTTGGAGTAGGAGATGAAAGAAAACTATTGTAGATGACACCGAATTCTATATCTTGAAACTTTGATTACATACCTTGGCTATAGAAATAGAGTTAAGAGCCTGATGCTGGAGATGCTGAGTTATGTGTGTTACAGAATCTGCTACAACCATGCTTCTTCTATAAAATGTATGTTCTATTGCCTGCAGTCAGTTTCAAAACACAATGGTTCATATGAGTTAAAAAATGGCAATCTAAGTAATTTCTTTCTATACTAACTGTCTACTTGCAAAATACAGGATTTCCCTTCCCCATCTTTGTATTTTATATTAACAGAGATGCTGAACACACAACACTTTTGCAAAAAAGGGATTTCAGATCCTAACTTGAGTAATCATTTCTTTTTAAAAATCTTAGCCTTATGTATTTCCTCTCTCAGCTCAACTTTATAAAGATGCTCCTCAAAACAGTGAACATCTTTTCCTGCAAAAAAAATAGGATTAAGATAAAAAGCAAACTGGGGAAGGTGTTTAGAAATGTCTGGGCTCATTGGTTAACCTTCACTGTTACATGCAGCTCCCCCCCTTCCCTGAGTTGCTGTTTCTGTATCACGAGGAGAGCTGACTCCCCATGTATACTGGCTCCCACAGAGCCTCCTCTGCCCCCCTCCCTGGTGCTGGCTCCCCGTGAACTCCGGCTCCTGCCTTCCCCCTCTCATCCGCGCTGCTGCTTCTGATACAGAGGTGGCAGTGCAGGGATTGAGGGAGCAGGCGGTTCCATGGGAGCCAACTCCCTGCACCCAGGCTCTCAAAGAGCTGCCCCCCATGTGTAAACATGAAACCACTGAAAATTTCAGAGGTACGTTTTACAAAAATAACTGGCATTTTAACATTCCTAAAATAAACCTTCCCTTTCTTTTCTCCTTCCCTTCCAATCTTTAAATAGAAGTCATTTTGAAACTCAGTTCCTTGCATGTGGCATCTCCTGGTTGCTCTATGAAAATGCTTAGATGAAATCATAATGCCAATCCTATAACCTACCTTGAGAAGTTCCACAAGTCTGCATAATGCTTTCACTGAGGTTTTGGTCATAGGTTTTTGCATTGACATGTAGAGATTCATTGTGGTCTTAATTATGGTGCTAAGGCTGTAAGCATAAAGAAAACCCTGGAAACAAATTGGGAGAAGAAAAAAAAAAGAATCTCCACAGTCATGTCAGACAAATAAATATTATCTTTTTTTAATTACCATACAGGACATTAATTCCTGTCTTTCACTGGCCCCTCCAGAGTATAAGCAGCTCTCTCTCATGGACAGTCAAAGTTTTGTTTAGTCACATGAAACAAAGTGAAGATCTGCCAATTAGTTGGTAATTATGAAGCTATCAAGGAATCTTCAAGTCATTAAGTCAGTTAATTATAGCTTTAGAAACAATCAATACAATTTAACCATGAGCTAACGAAGCAATCAGTCAGAGTTCACTGTAACCAAACTAGGGTGAACAGAGGCTTTGTCTTACTACACCACACAGTTCTCCCCCAAATAGTGCAACAATTTTTCACACTTGTTACCTCGTCTCCCTAAATCCAACGAAGAAAGACATCAAGATTAAGAAACTGGAATAGCGTGAGCAAACAATTGCACAGTCCCCAAGAGATGAGTGAAATCAGTAAGATGTTAAGTTATTGTAAATATCTACAAATGCTTTAAAAATCCAAATTTCATAACAAAAAACAAAAAAATGAAAGAAGTGAAACAAATCCAAAAAATATCACTATCATAGAAATTAAAATGTGCCAAACTCTTTAAATCAATGTAGACTACACCTAGAAAGTGAAGAACAGCACCCAAGTATTTAAAACAAAGCTTTTAAATGGAATACAGCAAAAACGTGAAGAAATAAAGCAAATTAACTGAAACTTTCAATTTGATATAGAGAAAAACAGATTCTCAAATTGGAATATCTTCAGATCCTTTAATTCTTATTTATTCTCATTGTAAGGAGAATTTAAGTATAAAAAACCACACTGTTTTCATGTATACTCTGAGCTCAGAAGAAAAAAGTCAATTGATACTGAAACCTGGAACTATCAGTGTCTATCAACAAAGGCAGAGGTACAAGGTTCCAGCCCGCCCCTCTGGGACAGCCACCACCAGCGTGGCGATAAATGGACCTGGCAGCCTTGGAACAAAGGAAGGATAAAAGAGGGGCCCAGAATGTAGTGAGCTGTTTTCATTAATGGGGAAGACTCTAGTGTTGTGTATCTATTAAACATTCCCTATTATACTCGAACTTCTTTTCAATCCAAGTTTTGTCAAGAAGCTGTAAACAATATGCAAGCAAGAAATAAATGTAGAAATCATATACACATAGCAACAAAACTCTGACCAGAAAGGAAAATTAACTGCACCGATGCTAAAGTTGGCATCTGAAAGCACTGTTGAGTGCAACGCTAGTAGGCAATAACTTGGAACTTGTTGTCAGAAATAAAAACATGGAAAATACAACTACATTTCAACCACTCCCCTACTCCAATTTAAGCTGGGAAATGGGAGCTACCTTGCAAAATGACTGAAGCTTCATTAGAAAGATTCCAGCTTCAAGCTGTGAAGATTCAGACATTACTTTTTTCACTTTGTGGAAGGCCCCTTTTCTATAGCTAGTAAGAATGAGATTGGACAACACAATTCAGAAAGTACTGCAGGAGATGATCACATAATGTTTATGATTCATTTTCACAAGTTACTAACTTCCTTCTAATCATCCGGTTCCTAATGTAGAAACAGCACAAATATATAGAATTCAGCTACCATCATAGTAAAATCACTCACCTGTATAAAGACATTACACCTGTTGGAAAGGTCTTCAGCAAATTTATCCATCCGTTGTTCTTTAGACAAGATAGATTCCATTTTTGTCATCCATGAGCTCACAAACACATAATATGACTGCATTTCTCTGGAGAAAGAAAAACATGTTACTAACTTCAGAGAACAGGTGAATGCCATTTCCCTTTTTCCATTCCCAAGGACCAATGACTAGTCCCTCTTAAGGAAAACACATAGGAATATTCAGTCTCCAAAGGCAATACTTTACACCCTTTGTAGCAGGTACTAGAGTGTATCAAATCCAACCTTAAATGCTTCATACAGTAGTATTAACCTGCATATGACAAGTGGGTAACTAAGAAACAGAAGTTAACACACTTGCACAATATCAAACAATTAAATCCAAATCCGAGTCAAATTAAAACTTAGGTCTTCTGGTATTTCAGTCCTCCAATTTTCTTATAAGAAGGCCATGTTACATAAGATCTTGTCGTTAATGCTTTGAATTAATATCCCACTCAGATGCACTACATTTTTTTAAAATAAAGTAGTGAGTAAATGTGCAAAAGTAAACCATGCAAAAAAAAAATTAAGTTCTCTCAGTGCAAAAAGCTTTACCAGGTTTAAACCATAATCTGTTACTATAGTAATGCCTGACTCAATATTGCATAACTTGTTTTAAATAATGTAGTTCTGAAGGATGCACATACAGATTATACTGAGACACTGAGTAAGTTTCCCAGATCTGAAGAAGAGCTCTCCGTAAACTCAAAAGCTTCTATCACCAACAGCAATGGGTCCAATAAAATAATATTACTTTTCCTATTTGCTTTCTCCACACCATTCATAATGGTATAGATTTTATCATCTTCCCCCCTTGTCTCTTTTCTAAACTGAATAGTCCCAGTCTTTTTAATCACTCCTCATATGGCAGCTGTTCCATACCCCTAATCATTTTTGTTGCCCTTTCCCATAACTTGCCTAATATCATCATCATCATCTTTTTTTTTTCTCCAAAAGATGGAGTGGGCTGTTCACAATATTCAAGGTGTGAACATACTCTGGATTTATATAGCAGCATTATGATATTTGCTGTCTTATTATCTAATTCTTTTCCTAATGGTTCCTAACATGGTTAACTTTTTTGACCTGTGCTACACATTGAACAGATATTTTCAAAGAACTATCCAATGACTTAAAGATCATTCTTATGTATCAGCTAATTTGGAACCCATCATTTTGTACATATCACCGGGATTACTTTTTCCAAGGTGCTTTACATTTTGCGTTTATAATCACTCAATTTCACCTGCTATTTTGTTGCCTAGTTACTCAGTTTTGTGAAATCCCTTTGTAACTCTTCCCAATCAGCTCTGGGCTTAACTGACTTCAATCATTTTGTATTATCTGCAAACTTGGCCACCTCACTGTTTACCCCTTTTTCTAGCTCTTTTACAAGAATGTTATATATTGTTGGTCCCAGTATAGATCACTGGGGGGCCCTTCTATTTAACTCTCTCATTTGGGAAAACAGACTGTTTATTCCTATACTTTGTTTCCTGTCTTTTAATCAGTTATGGATCCATGAGAGGACTTTCCCTCTTATCCCATGACTGCTTACTTTGCTTATGAGTCTTTGGTGTGAGACCTTGCCAAGGTTTTTGAAAGTCGAATAACGCTATTATCAAGTGGATCGTCCTTGTCCTCAGGCTTGTTGAAACCCCCTCAATGAATTCTAAAAGACTGAGGCATGATTTCAGTTTTCAAAAGCCATGCTGACTTTTCCTTCCAACATTATCATGTTCACTTATATTCTAAGTGTGTTAATGAAGTGCACGTGTAGGATAGACTTCTGCTTACTTCATTTAACTACATTTTACTGTCTGATTTAAAACAGATGCAATACTATGAAACTACATTTGTACAAATTTATCCCTGGTGCAACCTCTTTTACTGCTATGGAATTACCCTAAATATGTATTTGACAAATTATAGCTACACCATTAAACTTAAAAGCAATTTTAAAGCATATAGTCCTATATACCAAAGACAGTTCAAAAACTTGTGAAGTCAATTTTTTTTAAAAAAGGTCATTTACAGAAAACAATCTGGATTTGATTAATTATCCTCAGAATATTTAGAGCTGTCCATATCTTTTTCTTCAACTTCTCCTGCAATCAAACAGCAATAGGACAAGACTTCGGCTTTACCCAGGGTCAGAAGTAACAGAGCAGTGCACCACCTTCGCAACAAACTTGGGGAAAGGACTGCAATTCAGTCCGAGTTCCTCTGGCTTCCAGGCTTGGTCTACACCTAAAACTTGGGTCAACCCAATTACATTACTCAGAACTGCAAAAAATCTTGAGCCCTCTGTGATGTAGCTAGGTCAATCTAACCCCCACTGAAGGTGCAAACAAATTCTTTCATCAATCTTGCTATCTTATCTCAAGGAGTTGGAATTACTACAGTGAGAAAAAAAAACCAATTGTCACTGTAGTTTATCTACTCAGCAGCGCTACAACTACATTACAGAGGAGCAGGATATGGGAAAATGTAGGAGTAATTTACTAGAGGCCTATACTAATAGCAGATTACTTCCTTCTCTGTACCAGCTCAACACTGTTAACCTGTATATTGAGTGGTAAAGAGGCAGCCAAGGGAAACCCATCAAGGCAAGTAGGAGTGTCAGCTTCACAGAACCTGCTCTACCCTTGATGCTTCAACCAATGACTCAAGTACGAAAAAGAGGGAGTCTTATGCTCCATTCTTCTCCCTGCAATGCAGCAGCCTTCAATAACTTTTAAATATGACAAATAACCCTAAATATTTTTAAAATAAACCACAGAATGGAGAGAATTTAGAGAAAGGTTGACAGGCAAGTTTTTTCTAAAAAGAATAAAAATCTCTCCAAGCCTAGGCAAAAGTGAATCAGCAAAGACAGGAAAGAAGCTGTCATTTCTGTAGCATGCATCATCACCAAGCAACCCTAGGCAACCTATTCTGCCTAATGTGGTTTTGTCTATTAAAAAAATAAAAACCCAAGAATCCTAATTGAAAAAGCAGCAACTCAGAAAAGTAATAGCTGCCAATATAAAACTGAAGTGGAAAGCATAGAGAAGAACTAGCTGAAAGTCAGAGGCAAGTTGTTAGAACTGCCACCTACTTTGCAAGCTTGCAGAATCAAAATAAGTGATTTTCTAAAAGCGTCATATTAAAATATTAAATTTTTTAATGTATACTTTTTCAGTAGCATTTAGGAGGCAGCTACTTCTGGGGAGAAGCCCAGTAATTCCTTAACAGTATAGAACATTACTACATAACATTTTAGGGCAGTAAGTGAAGAACACCAGATCAAATTAGAACCATTTTTTGTTGTATACGTTAATAAGCAGTATCTCAAAAGGGCAGCCCTGTATAAAACCTACTTGGTAAGTGACTGAGCCTTCTGTTGCAGAAAACTCTCTCTGTGAGTTTTAATCGCATGATGGCTTCTCCTATCCAGAAGTTTGGCAACAGCTGGCATTTTCTGGATCAGAAAGTTATCAGCAAACCAAATAATATTAGCAGTTAATGTAATGGCTGGCACCTGGAGTACCAAAAGAGGAGAAAAAAATTAAAATAAAAGAAATGGGTAGCAACTCCTAATAATTATGATTAACATGAAATTAATTCCTGTTACTAAAATATAAAAACAAAATCAACGTTATACCACCTCCAAGCCAGAACCTTATTACTTGAATTTGTTGTAAGTCAAAAAAGTGCAAAACATTAAAAGTAATAACCAACTACTCCTTGTATTTATCTATGGAGCTCAAGTACTATGTTAAAAAGAGGTTTCTATCCTGAAAAGCATGTATTATACATCAATATGCAGATTTATTATTCTAAGTGTTTGAGAGGTATGTTAAGCCAAATGTTGCTCATACATTCATGTATTTTGAATGAGCTACAATAAACCCAAGATGTTCCATTAATGCCAGGAAATTATAACATCTTACAGCCAAAGCATTAAAATACAAAGTCTTTCCTCCCTAATGTATGAGAAAAAACACACATATAGGTCTGGCCTACATTACAGCAGAAGTTTGAATTAAGATACGTAACTCCAGCTAAGTTAATTACGTAGCTGGAGTTGACCTAACTTAAACTGAGTTCCCATGCCATCCACACAGTGGGAGGCTGAAAAAGCAAATGCTCCCATTGGTTTCCTTTACTTCTCATGAGGAGCAAGAGTACCGCTGCCAACGGGAGCAACCTCTGAGTTTGATTTAGTGGGTCTTCACTAGACTCGCTAAATCAAACCCTGGAAAATTGACTACTGCTGGGTTGATCTTCTGTGCAGAATAGAAATGGCCATGGAAACCACAATAAAATAAGTATTTCTCCTCAAGAACTTTAATTATCTTTAATAAAGACAAAACCTTCTATTTTTGCAACATAGCCAATATAAAACTGTCAAGAGAGTAAATACGTAAGTTAGAATACTAAAGCTTATACATCAAATACGGATAGAAAAGAAATGGAAATCAGAGATACAACCAACTTTTATGTTTTACTTTTGAAAATCCTAACCATACTGCTTTTAATAAAAACTAAAATATATTTCATTTCATTTTGCTTTTAATATATTTTAAAAGTATTAAAAGGAAGCAACAAAATCTTCACCTTTTTGCCAACGTCCAGTAACGATTTATAAAATTTCTTGTCTACTGTCCGAAAAATCTGAAAATGCAGTACAAAGAGACCACAAATTCCTACGTATTTATCTCTCTGGTCAATTTCTGAGGGTTCACCTTGTATAAATATATATAGAAAAAAATATTTTTGAAATCTGTTCCCAAACAATATGAAAACTTTTACAAACAATGAAGTCAGCATAAAGAAAAGCACATCTTGCATTACCAAGTTTAGCTTCAACATTTGCAAATATTGTACGAATATTATGTGCAAACTCTTCAGCAAAAGCGCTATTCTTTGAGACAGCTACTCCTCCATTGAGAGAATCAAACTGTTGTTCTATACAGGCCTGAAAGAAAACAAGAAAATTACATTTATGTACAACGCTAATCCCATGAAGTCTGGGCATTCAATAGATTGTTATTGCTCAGCATCAATCTATAAAGTCACAGTTTCAATATAAAACACAGCTGAAAACAATTTTCAAATGTGTTTTGTCTGTTTATTTCACTGAATGAATTTTAATAATAGGAA